AAGTCCGGGCTGTACGGTGGGTGATCGAACTGCTCCCAATGAAACTGTCGAATTAACGATTGAGTGACACCAGCAGTATGGGGCCGAGCATTGTCATGGAGCAACACAATTCCTTTACTTAGCATTCCTCTTCGTTTGTTTTGAATGGCACGCCTTAGTTTTGTTAGTCTCACAATATCGTGCCACATTAATTTTTTCACCTTTGGGAAGAAATTCAGTAAGCAAAACGCCTTTCCTATCCCAGAAGACAGTGCACATGATTTTTGTGATGACATTGTCACTTTGAACTTTTGTTTTTTCGGAGAATGAGTGTGTCTCCACTCCATCGATTGTTTTTTCGATTCAGGTGTGAAATGGCACACCCAAGTTTCATCACCTGTCACAATTTGGTTTAAAACGTTTTCTCCCTCATCACTGTACCGCTAGAGAAATGTCAGGGCACTACCAAGTCACTTTATTTTGTGAACATCAGTGAGCTTTTTTGGAACCGATCGGGAACACAGTTTGCGATAATTCAAGCGGTCAGACACAATTTCGAACAAAACAGTACGTGAAATTTGTGGAAATGCCTCTGAAAGAGTTGTCATTGTGAAACGTCTGTTCTCATGAATTGCTTCATCAACTTTCCTTACCAAATCATCGGTGACAAGAGAAGGCCGACCACTCCGAGCCTTGGCGTGGACATTTGTTCAACCTGCATTAAACATTCTTACCCACTTTCTCACCATTCCATCACTTATCGCGTATTCACCATAAACTTCTGTCACTTGACGATAAATTTCGGCCGGTTTAACATTCCTCGCGTTCAAAAATTTAATCACGGCACGAATCTCACAGTCAGCGGGAGAACTAATTGTCTTAAACATTTTAAATGTGCACAGCAAACTGAAAACACAACATAGAGCAACCAAAATGGTGACAATTGAAAGTCAGTGAACAAGAAAGACTAGTGCGCATGCGCGGGACGCCTACCACAGCACTGCGACGGTGCTAGAATGAAACGGTACTTAGTTTCCGAATACGCTACGTAAATATAAGGGCGAGTCAAATGAAAGTGAGCCAATGCGAATATATGACAAACAGAGTACTTTATTTAAAGGTAGTCTCCATGAACATTGAGACATTTATCCCATTGACAAATGAGCCGCGTGATCCCCGTCTCATAAAACTCCTTGGGCTGTCGATTCAAAAAGTCTGTAACCGACTCTTTCACGGCGGCGTCCGACACGAATCTGGTACCCTTGAGATGTTTTTTCAGTTTCCCGAAAATGTGAAAGTCGCATGGCGACAAATCTGGACTGTATGGAGGATGTTGCAGTGTGTCCCACTTGAACTTTGCCAGTTGTGTCTTAACCACATCAGCGACGTGGGGACGAGCATTGTCGTGTAGCAAGATCACACCATTCATCAATCTTCCAGGTCGTTTGTTCTTGATTGCGACACGCAGCCGATCCAGCGTTGCACAATATCGCAAACTATTGATAGTCTTTCCACGTTTAGCAAATTCAATCAGTAATGGCCCCTGACGATCGAAAAAAAAAGTCAATAGCACCTTTCCCGAGGAAATGACAGCCTTTGCTTTCTTCGGGGGTGGTGAATTCAAATATTTCCACTGTAAGCTTTGCCGGCGTGTTTCAGGTTCATAGTGGTGGCACCATGATTCGTCTCCAGTCACCATTGCAGACAAGAAGTCGTCACCCTCATTGTGATACCGGATGAGATGAGTCAGAGCAGCGTTGAACCTCTCTGTCTTCTGGCGGTCGTTCAAAATCTTGGGCATCCATTGAGCACACAAAAGCCGATAACCGAGATGATCATGAATTATGGTGTGAACCGAACCGTGACTGATGTTCACACGCTCTGCCAGTTCATCGATGCTTATCCTCCGTTCTTGTCTAATCAGCTCATCAACCTGTGCAATTGTGTCGGGGGTGATTGCAAGGTGGCTTTGGCCCGGTCTTGGAACGTCTTTGCAACTTTCACGTCCTTCTCTGAACCGTTTGCTCCAACGCTTCACAATGGCCAATGCGATGCAATGTTCACCGTACACAGCAGTCATACGGCGACTAATTTCATGTTGGGAAACACCTTCAGCTGTCAAAAACCTGACCACACCAGGCTGTTCCTCTTTTGGAGCGTCCATTATGTCACGCTACCGTCTTCAACCCAGTGTAAGAGCGCCTTAAAGAACTTTAACCTCACACTTTCGCGCCACTTTCGTAAATGAAGGCTGTCTCTGTGCTACGCGCATGCACCGCAGATGATGGACCGAACGATTCTTGCTGAGGAGGGGTTGGCTCACTTTCATTTGACTCGCCCTAATATTATGGGGTCATGGGGGTCGCGAAAAAATCTCAGTGATAAAAGGGGTTGCGACTGAAAAAAGTTTAAGAAACCCTGCTTTAAACCATCAAAAATTCAGTAGTAGGAAATGGAGGGCCTGTGGTATAGGAGGGAGAGGATGAAGATCATATTACTGGGTCTGCATAAGTTCGTGTCAAAAATCAAAATTTATACAAGAACCAAGTATCTTCAGTGCTATCATGTGAAATACTGAGAGGTGCCTTTTCTTTACCGTGGAACACACCAGGTATCTTTGGTGCTGTCGTGCAAAATACTGATAGACACCTCTCCTTTACCCTATATGTATTGAGCCCAGATTACCACCCATAGTTAACAGCTGAAATTTATGACAAACTCTTAGTCTTATTAGTAATGGTATGTATTTTTTAATCTGAGGCAAGCAATAAGTACACATATAAAGAAATATTGTTAAAATTTTTATTGCACAATGAAACCACAGTAACAAAACAAAAACAGTGTTATAAACATTAAGACAATAAGAATTCAGTAATAAATTCTCTTTAAAATGATATATACAAGTTTGCATTGTGTGAAACATAACATTTTCTATAACCATACAAAGTTCAAAAACATAAAAATTTCCAAAAGTGTCCACAATTTTGGACACCAGTGTATGTAAAATTTGTAATGTTAATTTTGTCTTAGGCGAGAGTACTTGCTTTGTAATTATCAAACCGCTTTCTAATTTTTTAATACGAGTAGTAAAATATTGTAAAATAATCAGACACTTCCAAATTACTGCCCAATTTGTTCAGGTGGTTGTGACCACCATGATTTTGTTTTAAAGTTAAACAAAATTTACTCAAATTATTGAACTCAACAAAATTTGTCAGACCTCAATGAATGGAAAGAATGCTGTAGTATATTTTTATGCTACCTTTATAAGCATGCAGTAGATTTGAAGAAACGTATTTTAGCTGTGTAAATCCTCTGTAAAATACAACTTCCAAATCAAATAACCTGGCTAATCTATGCATATTTGTTTGTAATTCTTATGATGCATTATTTTAGTGAGTTTTATTTATTATATTGAAATTCATGAATTATGTAATTATGAATTTTGTAACTTGAGCCTGATTGATGGCCAAAACATTAAAATTACATATTTAGGTTTTAACTTGTTTATTTATCTTGTTTACTTGTTTAACTTGTTTATTTTGATATAAATATTTTAGTAGACTGTGTTCTTTAAGAAAAAATATTTATTTAAACTTTAATTTTAAATGTATATTTAGATTTTAATTTCTGCATTCAGGTGTCGCTCCCACATTCAATTTTTTTAATTTAACATGGTGTTTTTCAGAAAATAAAATTTACCCTTGAAAAAACATTGGATTCTGCTTCTTCCTTCTTTGACAAAAGATCTTCTGCTCATTCTTATAAGGTATGTCGTTTTCTTTACAGAGTTACTTGTAAATGTTAATTTTTATAACTTAAATATTTTTGTTTACTTATTTTTAATGCCCATAAATAGTTTTTTACCTCTTTGTTCACTTTTGGTTAAGCTTTAGAAAAAGTATTATTTTTTCCCAAATGCAGTCATGGTGCAGTGTGAAATTTAAACACTGAACTTCAATAAATTCATAGAATTGACTTTTGTCTCATTCTCTGACCTGATGTATATATCCTCAAAAATGTTTATTAATGCAAAAACCGATTTTTCAATTTTTGGCTACCCTTCCTTTTTTAAAACAAGCCCTTTAAAACCTTTCTTCTCTTCTGTGTTCCTCATCCCCTTTTTTCCCATTCTGTCTTTTCTTTTTCCTAGTGATTAAGCATCACTTAATGTTTGTAAATTTACATTCTGTATTGTCAAATTATTGAAAGCCTTCATTTTTTGACTGTCCGCAAAACATGATCTTAGTTTTGAATCTCTATCTATCTATCTATATATATATATATATATATATGAGAAGAAGATAAAATTGTAGTTAGCTCGTAACACAGAAGTTTCAATTGTCTGTTTCGGCGAAACACGTAATGGAGTTGGCTTGGTTCGACGTTTAACTAGAAATTTCCCTTGAAAAGCCAGGTTGGACATCGAATTGAGCTAATTTACTATTTTCTGTTTTATAATTTTTTATGTTTTTTCATATGTTTTATTTGTTTTATTAGTTTTAACTTGTTCCATCTATCGGTTTTTTTATATGTTTTAACTTTTCACCTATCACATGGATTGGTATTTTGCTGTGTTTTATATTATACATTTTATTTCGCGTGTAGCCTAATTTTTCACCCTTCAATGTCATTTTTCAAAAAAATACTGTGTTGAACTTTTTCTTGGAGCCACAGCTCCTGGTAACTTTTTGGCGAGCTAACTACAATTTGTCTTCTTCTGATTTCCTTAATTTTGCAGCATATTGGGCAGAAAATTTTTAGACCAAATAGGTCTTTTTTATATAGTAATTACTACCTAGCTTTTTAATTATATATATATATATATATAATGTTGTGGATTGTCTTAAAATTATGTTATCCATTGAAAAGTGAAGAGTTGCAGTTGTTTTTGTTCTTTTAGGTTTTGCTTCATCATGCCATGTGTATTTTATCTGGACTTCAGAAAATTGAAGCTTTAAGTGCTGTTCTGAAAGAGGATAAAAAGTAAATTTTTGAGTAATGTGTGCTCTGAAATGAAAACGCTACCAACATTGAAAACACAACACCAAGAAAGAGTTGCCCAAAAATTATGCAAATTTCAGGGTAGATGCAGGTCACCGAGTTATGCGAATGATGTGAAATACGCAACTCTCCATCGCATATTGAAGAACATATAAGGGGAAGAACTTGCAGAATGCTCAATTTTCATTCTGTTATTTCTGCCAGGGAAATCATTGTAGAAATTTTATTCTTATTGCAGAGGACGTGTATAATAGCAGAGAATGCCAGGTTATCATCAATGGAGACAGTTCCAGAAGACACACGATATAATGAGAGGCATGGTGATTTGACTGAGAATGGCAGGTTGGTCTATACTGCAAGTCTCAGCTGGCACACACCTGGACATGTACACAGTGCACCGGCTGTGACGATGATGGTTAGAATAAGGAAATGCAGCGAGTTCAAGTGGTGCTGGTGCAACCAGAGTGACATCAGCATGCATGGATCAATGCTCCCGCTGCAAAGCAGTGGCGCACCATCAGGCCACTTTTTCCTCCATTCTGCAGCATGTTCAAGACACCCTCGATGTTCCCATGTTCACCAAAACCATTTGCTGTCAATTGGTGGCTATTGGCCCGCATTCGTGACATCCATTAAGAAGACTGCCATTGACCCTATACAATAATAGTCTGCAATGGTGCTCAGCTCGAGCAATGTGGAAGACAGAATGGCATAGGGTCGTGTTCTCAGATAAGTCAGGCTTCTGTTTCCCCAATGATAGTAGCCGTGTATGAATGTGAGTGTGACTATGGAGACAGATTCAGTCTGTCAGCAATTGTGGAATACTGCACCGCATGACAGCATGGCATCATGGTTTGGGGTGCAATTGCTTACGATTCCAGGTCACGTCTAGTTTGTATTTATGGCACTATGATGGCCCAATGATATGTGGATGATGTACTGCAGCTGGTGACACTCTCCTACATTCAGAGAGTGCCCAAGCCCTTTATCAGCAGCATACACACATTTCGCATCAGTCAATGTGCTCTGCAAAATGTACAGATGCTTCCCTGGCCACCATTCTCTCCTGATATCTCACCAATCGAACACATTTGGGATATGAATGGATGCCATTTGCAGACCCTGCTGTTGTCATGTTTAGAAGATGAACTGTGGAAAATGGCTGACAGGGAATGGAAAGCATTCTTCAAGACACCATCCGTAGTCTCATTGACTCTGTACCTAGATGTGTTGCTTCATGTATTGCCATCCAAGGTGGTCCTACAACCTAATGAGGCAACGCTGTTCTCATTCTGTATTAAGCATATTGTTTGGAAATAAAGATCACTTATTGTTCATTGCTGTCTCTCTCTGCCAAGTTTCATCACTTTCTGGCTACTCCTTCTTTGTGTTGCATTTTCAGTGTCGGGTAGTGTATATTTTAATACTTCTTTTTAAATGTCTTTTTTGTAAAAGTCAGTATGTTTTTCATTATTCATCTCATTATTCCTAATTGAATTTGCATTTTCCTCAGGCCCCTAGAGACATATGAAAGGATGGCATTGCATTTGAATTTAGTCCAATTTCACATGAATAAAATATCAAATCTCAGCATTCTTGATAGCAAAAAGAAAGCTGTTGAGGAGATTGCTACAGATATTGAAAAGCATATAGAAGGCTTTTTCCTTGAAGCTGTATATAACAAAGATACACTGAACCTTCAGAAAATTCTTCGAATCTATTCAATTATTAATCAAGAGAGAGCGGTTGAAAACTATTTTCGTGAAACTGTGGTGAAGCCATTTATGAGAAAGGTTGGTAGTATTTGTAATTGTAAATATGTATGATTTCTCCACTAACAGTAAATAAGAAAAAAATCAACTGAATTGATACTGTTTTTGGCGTGAAATGTTTAGTTTTTAATTATTTATATTTTTGAAGCAAGTCAAAACTGATTTGTGGCAAAGGAAAATTTTGAAATATTTAAAGTATATTTTTTTAAATGCTTTAATGTATGTCATATGTAATGAATGATGAAATATAAGAATTTCTGTATAAAATAGTACATATTTTAATGGTATTTTTTAACATTAAGATTTATTGAGTTTTCTTTCTTATTTTGAGATATGTGCACTAGGCAATTGTGAATACATTAACTTTTAGGTCCTTAATTATTATGTAGGTTTTGGATAAAATGAGGGAGTCCAAAGTCTTCAGCTCCCCTTATGAGAAAATAAAATTAACACTCGAAATTGGCATAATATTAATGGAAACAATAAAAACTGTCATTTTTCTTACCGTATATGCTCGTGTAATGTCCATGCTCATGTAATGTCCCACACCCCACCTTTACAGATAAAATTTTTTTAAACAAAAGTGACCGGCACAATGTCTGCACCCCAAAAACTAAAGAATTTCTTACTTTAAAATATATTTTTTAACATCGCCTTTTTCTCTGCAGTTAATAAACATCTTTAAAGAAAGAATATGCATTTGTTTTGTCTTTGTTTGGTGCCAGGATGAAAAGCAGAGACTTTCCTTGCTTTCTGGTGCAGCTGTTATTTAATCATAACATTGGTGCCAGCAATCCACTAGCCAGACACGATAATAAATGAAGGTAGTCCAAACAGGTTGTCACCACACTGGCTTCCAGGAAATACTTTTTATAATGAAATTACTTTCCCTCCTTCCTCCTTGGAGCATTCGCATATTTCAAGCTTTCTCTTTTTTCTTATTTTTTCATAGTATCATTTGGAATTCGTGGTAGTTAGCAAGCAGTGTGCTTGAAATGGGAAAATACAGCAGCTATACAGTGGCTTTTAAACTGAAAGTCATAGAATTTGCACAGGAAAATGAAATCGAGCAGCAGCAAGAGTATATAGAGGCGAGTGAATGAAAAGTGTGTGTGCATCTGGAGCAAACAGCGTGATCAACTGGCGGCACCGAACAAAACAAGATGTGCGTTTCATGGTTTGAAATGTAAATTTCCGAACTTTGAAAAACGTATTTGCATATGTTCGTTAAATGTGTATTCAAGGGTACGCAGTAACATGGGAAATGCGCCAAATAAGAGTGCGCAAGAAGACATTCCTACATCGCAATTCAAGGCGAGTGATGAAACAAACTAGATTTTTGTTTCGTTGGCATACGACAGTATGTCAAAAAATGCCTAGTGACTATGAAGATAATTTGTCCTTTCATTGCTTCATTATCGTGAATCGCAAAATGAATCATTATTTAGCTTCACAAATTGCAAATGCCGATCAGATGCCAGTTTATTTTAATGCTCTAGACAATTACACTGTAAATGAACAGGGTGCAGGATCACTAAAATGTTGTTGTAAGCATTCTTGACCTATATAATATCAAAGAAAACTGCAGAAATGCATGAAATTGTGTCATTCATGATACCTGTGAGGTTGCTGAATGTGTTATTGCATAGGTTAGAAATTTGATATGATAAACTAAAAATTAAATCATTGCTGCTATATTTGTGCCAAAGCTGTTGAACAATAATCGAAAGTATCCTTTCATGGAAGTCTATAGAGGATTTTAAGAATATATTCAAAGACCTCCAAATTTTCATTTTAGAGTTATTTTTGATGAAAAACTTGAGATTTTATTCATACTAAAAGGAAATAATTATCATCCCAGTTGAACTCTCAGAATTCACCAACGTGTTATCGAATTTTAAAAATTGGTTTCTTTATTAAGGTATAAGAAATATTTTCAACAGTTTCATTCATAAACTGTAAAAAAAAATATATATATATTTAGGAAATCTTAACTGCCATCTTAAGTATTAGAATAATTAACTCTTATATTTTATTTATGCTAGTAGATTAATTTTTCGTGTTTTTAAAAGGCTTTTTTTCTTGCGAATATTCTAGAATTTGGTAAAATCATTTCTTAAAAATCATTCTCTTTTAAATATTCTTTTATTGTTAAATATTCTTTCATGACATGCAAAAATTATAATGTAGTATATAAGTAAAATTAAAAGTATTACTCATTATGAGACACTGTATTTTAGATTATTTAAAATGATATATATCATCTGAGTAAGCATATTGAATCAAAACTGTTTGTAACTTTCAGCTTATTAAACAAGAAAACATTTCCAAATATGGTCTTCCAAAGGTGTATAGTGATGTTTTAGATTTCATATCAAGCTCTTGCAGTACGATTTTACATGTTACACAAGGAATTAAAAGGTTTGTTTTTGGCAGGTTTTTGTATTATATTAAAATTGTTTTCATGTTAAGTGTGTGTTGTTGAAAAAGAAAATTAAATAGCTGTAGTGACTGAAATTTGAAACTTATTTTTAAATGCAATTATAATTTTTAAAACTTAAAATACTGTCAATTCATGATAGTACACATGGCTTTAAGATCCTTGACTAATTTTATATATTCATTGCAAAAAGCTATATAAATAAGGGAAACATAATCTCACAGCTATGGTATGATAGTTAAAAAGTCTTTCTGTTAAGTATCAAATTGGTGTAAGCTTGTGTTGCTCAAAGCAAAAGCACTCACTAACTGGTACACAGTTTCAGTCCAGCTAGGCATTTAAATTCAGTGGGAAGCAATCTTAATTATCTAAATTATTTTTATTCCAAGTTCTGTCATGGTCACTTGTGATACATATGTTTTACTGAGATAGTTGGTTTGGAAAAGCATGGAATGTCTAATAACGTTTTCACCATTAAATAGCAACAGAAACTGCTAGTTAATGAAACAATACTTTTTCATTATTGTAGTAATGCCTGTGATCCTTAATCTTATAGGTTTTTTTTTTTCTTTATTAGTTTTAAAACATGTAGAGGATGCTTGACCATATAGTATATCATCTGTCTGGTTCAGGCCATAATTAAAGCTGTAGGTTAAAAACTGCAGTACAAAGCCACTAATACAATTTTCATAATTTACTCTTTTGAGAAAATGTGCAGAAGTATTCTTTTGCTTTGCATTTGTTTGTGTTTTCTGATTTTTCACTTGCCCATAATATTGCTTTGATAGATGCCACTTTTGTTATTAATTTTAAAATAAAATAGCCTTTTAATTTTTAATGTTTTATATTTAAACATTTCCTTCTCTGCCCTAGAGATATTGAAATAGTTCCTGGATATGATTTCTTAGTTAATGCTGTTTGGCCTGAACTAATGCTGTGCTTAGAATACATATCACCTGTGTATATTTATGCTCCAGGAGATCCGCAACGTTTTCACAAAAATTATACAGCCAGCTTGAATTTTCTTGAGCAATTTGAACATCATTGTGGAGTTCAGAAAAGTGTGACGAGACTAAGAGAACATTCTTTATATAAAGACTTTTTGAAAAAATGGAATCTTGATGTATATTATCAAATTAGGTAAGTACTTAAATATTTCAGAATGTTTTAGAAGCACTTTAAAATGCTTTACATATTAATTATATGAATCATAATGAAATGTGAAATTAATTTGCAGATTTCAAGAAATTGCTGGGAAACTTGAAAGTTCACTTTTTGAAGCTTTAGAATCTCCTGATGGTAAAAAAAAAATTGCCTTCTTATTTTCTATAAATACAAAAGTAAATCTTTTTTTTTTTTTTTTTTTTTTGTTTTTTTTTTTTTTTTTTTTTGTGTGTGTGTGTGTGTGTGTACAAAATAATTATTGACATTTAATATTTTCTCTTTTTATAGAAACCAGTTCAGATTTTATGCTAAGTGCGACTTCTGCCCTTTCATTGTGCTTACATCTTTGTTGGAGTGAAAACATTTTTCTTATGCATCTGAGTGCCAGCTTTTGCAAGTTATCTTTACAACTGATTTCAAGATACATTAAATGGGCACATTCCATAGTGAGTAATAATTTCGTTATATATCTTATTTGTCATTCATTCACTAAATTTTTCAATACTTAAACTATAAAATATAACCAGAAAACAAAATTCCTTTTATAATTACAATGATTATCTCTCGGATAGTGGCTGGAAGGTTGTTAGTTTTTCGTGGATGTTCCATTTTATTTTTCAGAGTGGCTCAATTTCATTTATAAAGGTGGGAGAGGATTATTTTCTCCATCATCTCTCTTGTGTTATTCTCTGTTATTAAATGATAAAGAATCTATGTATCTGTATTTCTTGCTTTATGGAAAAATGGTAGTATCCAGAGCTACCAGACTTTGAACACATATCATCCTGTACTCGAACATATACACCTCAAAGTGCAAATTTTTTATTTCGAATTTGTCTCTCATTTTTTTTTTTTATGTTTTGTGCAAGTTTGGTAAAATTTTGATTAACAAATTCGGTGATTTGAAAGCAGTGTGTTACCACTTAACAAAAAGTAAGATATTCTTGTTTCAAATTTAACCAGAAAACTCGGAAAATTAAAAGAATTATATTGCTAAATTAAATACTTTTATTTTCTATACTTCAGTATGTGGCCACTCGGCAAAACATTAATGTATTAATTTTTCTTTGAAATTTAATCTGTTTTTTATTAGCGAATGAAGCAATATGAAAGCAATAAATTCAGCTCTGCATCTCTGACATTAATTTAGTAGGCTAGAGATATTATTACCAACTGGAACTGCAAAATGACACTGCTGGGATTTATTAAAATCATTATACATATTTTCTTTTTTACAGTAACTTCACTGTTGGCCATTAAAATTGCATCACCATGAAGGAAAGCAAGTACAAAAAAAAATATTTATTGTACGTAAACAGTATCCACCCTTGCCATTTAAATGGCCCTTACCTGCTTAGACATGAAGTCGAACTGGGCTTGGATGACAGAAACTGGCAACTCATTCCATGCTGCTTTAAGTCTATGCCTCACTTCATCAACCGTATTAGCTACAGAAAGGTGATGGGCCAGTCTCTGAGTAACTCATGACCAGATGTTTTCAGTGGGTGACAGATCTGGAGACCATGGAGACCAGGGCAGCATTCAAATACCTTGTGTATCAAGGAAGGTCAGAACACGACATGCAAGATGTAGTCTTTCATTATCCTGTTGGAAGATGGCATTTGGCAAGCCTCAGAGATAGGCCACAACCACTGTACGTAAGATCTCAGAAATATACCGATCTGTGTTCAAATTGCCATCAATCCAAAATAGAGATGTGCATGCCATGCACCCAGTGGCTGCCTAAACCATTACACCAGGTGCAGGGCCCCTATGCTGATATCGAATGCATGCATGTGATGTGCGGTCTCCTCGGAGCATCCAGACACGCATACGGCCATCAGAATACTGCACTGAAAAGACTACGCTGTGCCACTCCTGTATCCAGCTTTGTTGTTCGGCGCACCAGAGTTCTGAGCAAACTCCGACCTTACAAAGTGCTTTCTGAATGAGAAATCCACTACACAACTTTTCTTTTATGCAGATCTTCATATGTCGTTTCTCTCCCTGCATCATCTAAATGGGCTGAAATACTAATCATTTGTATATTCCAACCTGTTCTTCCTTTCCTGTGATTTTGATGTTCGTCAGATCATTCCTTCCTCGTGTTGCAGTTTTAATGGCCAGCAGTGTATTTTAGGTATTTGTCTGCATAAGCAAGTAGTGCTGCTAAGAAATTAAATTCTAATAATATTTATATAATGAAAGATTTTCAAAAGCAGTGGCTTTCCTACCTCATTTCTGTTTTTTAAAATGTATCAAAATAGTTGATGTAAATGAGCTTTCAAAATAATCTGCAAAACTGGAAGTATTTTAGTACATTATAAAAGTACATATAAATTTACTGTTAATTATATTTATGTAATAACAGGTTTTTAAAAGCATATAAAACGGTGGTTCTGAACTTTTTTTGGCCCCATTCCTGCTTCTCAAACCTATATCAAAATGTTTGCTTTTTTTATTCTGAGTAACATTGTATGATTTAAGCAAAACTTTCGAAATAATACGTAAAGCTTTAAGTACTTTTTCCTCTATATTATTAAGAAAACATATACATTTACTGTTAATTATATTTATGTAATGACAAGTTTTTTTAAAAGCATATAAAACAGTGGTTTTTTTGGGGGGGGGGCTCATTCCTGCTTCTCAAACCCATATCAAAATGTTTGATTCCCCCCCTTGAGTAACATTGAATGATTTAAGTAGAACTTTCAATACAATACATAAAGCTTAAAGTGCTTTTTTCTCTATATTATTAAGAAAAAAAAATAAATATAACATTTATTTTATTTCATGTATGTAAGTTATACATTGTTCTTGGTTTTGATGCACCTACCTGTGTGCACTGGCCTGTGTTTAAATTTTAAGCTGTTTTTGATTATTTTAGTCATGGTATGATATTTTGTAGTCAGTCTTATTATGAAATTTTTGTTTTGTTATGATTTGAGATTTCCCATATGCAAACAAACATATTTTATCTCCCTCCATTTAGAGTTCATGGGGTGTTTTATGTATTTAAATAAGATTTCTTTTTAACTTCTATAATAATTTTCTCAATAGTTGAAATTAAAAACTATAAAATAATTTAAATTTGTATTAAATTTGTATTTAAAGCACACTGTTAAAATTTAGAAAAATGTAATAAGTAGTTATAATAGGCCTACTAATGTAAGTATGTCCCCAGAGATTAACGGTATAGAACATCACATTTTATATTCAAAATAAGCTGCTAGAATCATGATGGAGGGGGAAAGAATTTGATTTGATATTATGTCATCTCAAATAAATAGAATTATCTGCTTTTATCTCATAGAAAGGCTTGTTCACAAGGCTTGTAACAAATATTACGCTCAAGTTTTTACTTATCAGAGCATGTAATGCATTTACCAATAAGAATAAACAAATTTTCGAAGTGCTTAAAACTGTGTTAACTTTGTTGTATTGATATTATAAATATTTATTTGTATTTAAGTATAGTGTCAAAATAAATATTCCATAAAAAATAATTTAAGTATTAGCCTAATTTTTATATCATGAGTAAATTTATGTTTCCACTTCACTAAAAAACAAACTTTTCAATTTAGTTTTTAAAAAAAAATATATGTAGAACTATGTTAAGTACCGTAGCATACAAATTTAAACAAAATGTGCTAATGAGATCTATTCTGTAAAGCATTTCAGGATTGAAAATAAGCTGGCATTGTCGTCTGCAAATCACATGTACACACAATGTTTGATTAAAGATTTGGAATCTAAATGTGTTTGTAAAAACATTTGAAAAGCAACTTTAATTTTCAAACTTTAGCAGTTTCCTGAAAATACCAAAGTTTTGACTGTATAATGTATTAAACAGATCTGTCCATGGATGTGCTGTGAGCTAAGTCTATTATGTTTTCTTTAGTACTGCTATTTTCAACAAGTGATTTCCAATGGCCTATAGGAGCTACTCTGTTTACTATGCTGGAGTCAAAAGACCTTTAGGAAATGTCTCTTTTCTGCTTGAAATTTTATTAAAGAATGCATTACTGATTGTGAATACTTCTTTTTTGCGAAACATAAATAATCTATTTTTTCCATAATATTTTACTTTCTTCAGCATAATTTATACTTAAAGATATGACCAAAAAAAGGGATGGGCTTAGTGCTTGGTTATAATAAGTATGAAAGCTTGTGATACTTGAGCTAAGTTTACCTTTGATCATTATTTTCTCTAAATCCTTGTAGATATAAGCATTAGATATGAGCACATATAAATTTATTGAGATAATAGTACATACTTTTATACCAGTAAAAAATCGTTAAAAAGTTTTACATGAAAGAGAAATTTTCCTTGGATTTTTAACTGTACTAAAAATAGGACGACGGTAAAATCCCTAACTACCAAATCCCCATCAGTGTGTAATTGAGATAATCCTTTTTTGTTACATTCCAAACATTGCTATTATACAACTAACTCAGGCACTTTAGTTTAGCTGGTAGGTGCACATCACTTGACAGACAGGTGTGTGAAATGTGGGGGAGGGGGTTGAGTATCAAACATTAACTTATGAAGTCTGTCATCGAAGTAGACTAAATCTCTTGTTTTTGCATGCTTGAGTTTTGGAGAAGAATAAAAATCCGAAGACACAAAAGAAGAAACCACCTAAGAAAGTTGTGAATGAGCAATTATCTCATCCATTTGTCCAGAATTTTCTGTCAATAATTACAAACCCTGAGATATATAAGATTTATGTGAATAATTTCTTTAGTTCCCATGAATTATGATCCGTTTTTGCAAATAAAAACTTCTTGACTACAGGTACTGTTAGAGAATACAGAATGCCTAAATGTCCATTTATACCCTCTAAAATGTCAAAATCACAGCTTTTCAGATAGCAGTTTTGATTCAAAAAATGAAGTTGCAGCAGTTTGTTGGAATAACACTTGTGTGTTTTCAGTGATGTCCAATTTGGAAGAAACAAAAAGTGTATCAACTATAGAAAGAAGAGTAAAAGATGGGAGAATACAATAAATATAAAAGCAGAGTTGACAAGTTTGATAATCATGCAGCAGCTTATGTTACTTCAAGGAAAGAAGGGAACTAGCCTTTATTTGTTAATGCATTTGAAACAGTATTTGTTGCTTCATGGAAGCTGTCAGTTATTTAGTGATGATAGTCTGAGCCTGCTTGATTCTCGAAGACACGTAACAGTTGCCTATTCGGGACTTTATATTCCAAGAAAACCATCTTGCAGAAAACTGGGTGTTCAACTGGTTAATGAAGATTTTTCTAAAGCTTCAAAATAAATGTGTTATTGTGGAAAACCCATAATATAGACTATATATTATTATATAACTCATATTTTTGATTTTATATGTATATATAGACTTAAAGAAACACATATTTAAGAATTTATAGAAAAAGTATTAATTTTTTCAATGCTTGGTATGATATGGGTTAATCATGTGTAAATCAACTTTATTTTGTTTCGTTTGTGATTTCATTTAATGAGCTTTGCCCCTGAACCTTAAAATTTCTCCCCAGGATGAGAACCCATGATTTAAAGTTACTCCATTTATACTGTAATGCAGGAAAATTTTCTGTTGAGATATTATGCTTGTCCTGTGGTCTCTATTTATTTTTTCCAACTGTCTTAATGCAGAGTTATTATTAACTAATTAATCTGTTCTACTTTTATGTGCATCTTACTTCTAAACAATTATTTTCTTTTTTCAAATCAGTTGTAATTTATTTCTTAACTAGTTCTTATATTAAAGTTTTGTTTTATTCTTTGTATTTCTATATTAGCTGAGTGTTGCAGGTCTTTTTGGAAGGCTGTACCATTTTACTGGCTTCTTTCTTTCCTTTGTCATATCTACTGCACCTTTCATCACTTTCCTGCTTGATGAATGCAGGAATGTGTGTTTGCTTTGTTATTAGATAGATTCTTATTTATAATGTTTTGATTTTATTTATACAGTTTTATTGCTTATTCATAAACTCAAATTAGTCTAAACTTAATATGATTATAAATTTTAGTCTGAATAGAGAGTAAGTTCTAACAAAAAATGTGCATTTTTGGACATTTCCAGGTGAAAAATGGGAGTTTATCTGAGATAAATGCAGCTACTTTAATTACAGATGTGGATGCACTTATTCAAAAAGTAAGTAAAGTGAAAATTCCTATATTGTTTTATTTATGTTTCACTCCAGTGTTTTATTAATTAATGCATTTATTTATTTCAAGAACTTTCGGGGGAAACAAAAACCTGTTATTATATTTGCAGATTAAGGTTTTTCCTACAGAGACCATAAGTCACAAATTATGTAGTACATCACTGAATGATTACCTTGAAAGTAAGTTTACATAATGCATAATGTTCATGAAACTAAACATCAATTTTCATTTAATTTTCATTATCCAATGCTTGAGCAAACAGTCAATTTTAATTCACCTTTCAGTAGTTTAAAAGTGAAGCAGCTTCCAGTAACTAACTGTTAACTTCCAGTAAAATGGAATTTCCAGTAACTGTTATTTAATATTAAAAATATACCTTTGTTTGTGTATTATCTTTAAACTGTTAAAGTAACATGGCTGTCCAGTATGAGATACGAATTTTTTGTACTGACAGCATTTCATGAAATGCTGCTAGAAATACTGCAAATAAGGGGTTTATTCACTTAATATTACCTGATTAAAGAATTTAAAATATTAAAACTTATTTTTCCAACAGCAGGTTTCAACGAGGCTGTGAAGTTGTTGGAAGAAATACCTCCACAAGTTGCAAAACTTACTGTGCAGATATTGATTAACAAATGTTCTCAACATTTGAAGCTTATAACAGACATTCCTAGACTATACAGGAAAACAAACCGTGAGGCAAGATATTTTAAGTTTAATTAGTTCTTTTAAAATTTCTTAGGTATTTCATTTACTTTGATAAATTTCATAAATGTGATATCTGCTAACTGACCTTCTTTTCATTGTTATTTTTAGGTGCCATCAAAACCATCTAGCTATGTGACTCAAGTATTTAACCCATTGACTGAATTTATTTCCAAAACAAAGTCAATGTTATCTGATAAATGGAGATTCTACTGCCTTGAAGAAGCTGTTGAAGGCATTATGAAAGAGTATGTGTGTCTGATAATTTTATTTAGAGCTGAAAGAGTATGCTAATTTAATTTTATATTTCTATTATACTTTTCAGTATAGATTACCAACAATGTAAAATGATTAGCATTCAAGCTCACTGAATTTGAGATACATCTCTCCTTCTCTCTCTATTATTTGTGACATTTTTTTCTAAACAGTGAATAAAACATTCACTAATTGAAATTTGGAAATTATCTCTAAGACTTTATAAATTTTTACTGTAAGTTACTATTTGGAATTTGATACTAAGTAGTTGATTTTATGCAAATAGTGGTTCCATATTTACCCATTGCATACAAAATAAATCGAAATACAGCAGTAGATCTTTTGTTTTCTTTGAATATTCAGTAATTTAAAAAATGCTTGCACTTTTATAAAAATTCTAATTATAAAACTTAAAACAATCTTCTATTGTGCACAACAAACTTTGTCACATCAATATTGATGCAGTGTATTTCTTATATTGCAGTATGCTCTCCTACAAACATGCTTGAGACCATATTTCCGCATGATAAATGTTTCAGTAGCTCTTGAGTACTTTCACTAAATTTAAAAAAAAATCTGATCTCATATTCACAAAGTAAGACATGTTTACACAGGCCATTATAATTCTAGTTGATCGATTTTTATTTATTTTCTCCATATATCAAATACAAAATACACAATTTATTACAAAACAAAAACTGAGTTTGATATAAAAATTTATAAATATATTTTAAGCAATAAATTGAATGTGTATTTCAATGTATTTATTTGTGCATGCCACATTAAGTTGTCACTCATTTTCAAAAAGTGTTTTATTTCTTCAGAAAATAATTCCGACACTTCGCTTAGGTCCTAATTAATTTATTGTATTAGTGTCTCTTTTTTTTTTTTTTTTTTTTTGTTCAGTTTCTAATGTTATAAGTATTTACATAAACACGTAGGCAGAAATTATCATCATCATTACTAGTAAAGTTACCCTCTATAAGACTCTCAAAGTCAGTATGATTATTTAGTTGCACGTTTTCAGCATTTAAATTCTTCTTTACTCTACACAAAATAATTACTTTCTTTTCTCATATCTATTGTCTTAATCTACTAGATCTCTTGGAATACAAACACTTACATATAGTAAAACATATAAAATAGTATATGGTTATTTATTTTGTCCATGATTGCTACTGATTGATCTGTAGGAATTATGGACAAGGTTTGAATATAGGAGCAGAATAAGGGTCAGAGCTTTTCGCCAACTGAAAGTTAACTAAAAAATTCACACTGTTGTATTCATTACTGCAATATGCATGATAAAATGTCAGTTGATATTTTGCATAGTGAATGTTTGCAAAGTTCTGACTAAACAGACTAGTTTAAGAGGAACTTATCTTTATTGCAACTTTAAGCAATAACAGTTTTTAATGATGACATAAATTAGTTCAAGACAAACCAGCAATATTGGTGTACTCAAGAATGACTGTCGTAAAGTCTGTCATCTTTTACGAAGCAAATCTAAACTAGGCTAACTCTGTATTTACTTTGAACTTTTCTCTACTGTTGTCAAAAAAGGAAGAAGAATGGACTGTCAGAACATAATGGAAAAATTAGTTCTAGGTTCTCAACAATCCACCATATATAACCTAACTGGCAATAAAAATTTGTTGCTGAAGCCAATCAGCTATTTTGGTATATAAGACAAAACAACTGAGTTGAAACAAATACCTTCACAAAATTACAAGAGCAATGCCCGACATGCATATTTTTCAAATTAGTGTTATTTCTTCTAATCATGATTTTTTTTTTTTTTCAGATGCATTGCTGTTATTCATGATGTTCTTACATCAATTAAAAAGATGGAAGATAGCCTTAAAATTTTAAAACGAGCAAGAGACAAGCCAATACTTGGTGGGCCTCAAAGTACAGGGAAAGTAATCACTGATGATGATAAAATTAGACGTCAGTTAGCAATAGATGTTTACTGTATGGAAGAATTTGTATGTGTAAATTATCTTTTTATGTTTGTCATGTATTGTATTTGTAATTTGATATTAAATGTTCATTTCTTTTCCCAGGTAGAAAATTTAGGTTTACAAGTTGAAGACGTAAAAAGCTTCAAGGAATTGAAAGAATTAGTGACTTCAGCTGAAAGAATCCCAGTTAATTGAAGCAATTTAATTTTGCATTTATATATGCTATATATTTGTACAAATGAACAAGTTTTGAAGACATGTATGATAACATATTTTGTGAAACTAATTGAAACACTTATTTTTACAATAAAAATTTAAATACAAAGCTCCACTCTTCATTTTATTCTTTCTTTTCATACCATGTGGTTTTAGAGTTTTCTGAATATTTTAATTTTGATAACTGGGATTATAAGAATGGTGGAAGAAAGCACGGCATAACATATTGTAGAATTCTGTCTAAGAATGTTTGTCCGAGTACAAGCTATTAGTCATTGGTTTTTGCAATTGGGCCCACCAGCGGCCGAGCAGTAAAGTCGCTGAACACTGGTATTTCAGTCCAAGGTTCGAATCCCGCGAACAGGCTGGCTGCATGGGTGTTTTCGTGGCTTTCCCCATGTGTAACATGTATACGAGCCAGTTTTCCTTAGAAAGTCCTCCACGAAGGCATCCCTTCCCTTAGGCAGATAGCCCTCAAGGCTTCGCCATAATCCCACACACACACACGCGAATTTTGCAATTGTTAACAGTCCCATTCAGTAAGCTGAAAGCAAAGAGATACTTACAGGGTTGCCACTCAAACAGGAGAATGAAATTTCCTGACTTTTCCAGGTTTTCCAGGTGTGTTTCAAGAAAATTCCAGTCTATCCGCGTAATGTACGTTGGCTGTACTAAGAGGTAAATTAATTATGGTATTACTTGTATTGTCTAGCAAATTCACTTAATTATTCAATAAATCCCAGAGGACATTTATTCTTAATTATTCTTGGTATACTTTGATAATTTTGTTTAGTTTTCCACTTAATAAAATTTAAGATACATACATTGGATAACAAATGTATGTTTTATTTAATTATTACTCATGACCATCACCAGTTCAAGACGAGGCTAATCCAGTCCTTATAAATCACAACGCAATGCTAAATAGTTAGGTTAGATTTTAGGTAAATTTAATTTGCGTGAGGTATGTTCTTAAAAGGCACCTTAACACTTGAAAACACAAAATATAATTATAATAGGAGTTGTTTTCTCCACTGAAGATTGAGATTAGAATCTTCCCAATCTGGAACAAAATAAGGCTTTTTTTTTTTTTTTTTTTGGAAGACATTCTGCAGCTAAACGGAAGAAAGAAATCTATTTAATAAATTGAGGTATTTTATATTTATTTCGCAGCATACATAAGCAAAAAATATGTGCATTAAATTTCGTGATGGTTATGTCATCATACTGCTAGAATTAATTTCTGGATTATGCCAGAGAAAATTTTCCTGAAAATTTGGAAAGTTATTATTTACTAATAATAAATAAATTTAGAGGGAAGAAGCAACATTAAATTATATGAAATAACACAAAAATAAAAATAATTACTTAAAAATTGAATTAGAAATAATCAACAGATATTTTAGCGAAATATAGTTATATTACAATGGCTTAGCCTAGATGACCACTGATTACTATTTTTTTATTTTACTGCAAAATGGCAAATGAGGCATTTATTAAAAAGAAAAAAAAAAAAAAAAAAGGTTTAAAAAGATTTTGCGGTAAAATTCGTAGTATACGGTAAGGCCTTTTGGCACGAATTTTGAAAATTGTCGCCAAGACCAAAATGAACCCGTTTACTGCGCATCATGAATGTCGCCAAATCCGTCATAGAGGTTAAAATAGAATATATGGATGTTATTCTAACCAAAGAACGTCTATGTAAAGAAGGAAAGGTTCCATACAAGTACGTAATGCTATTACGCCGCTAGAAAGCGAATGCGGAGGGGGTAAAATTTGCCAAGGGATTTGGCGACGGAAACCTGGCGGCCATAATTTCCCTCTCCGCGATGTGTATCAGGAAATTGAAGAAACACGTGTTAAGAAGAAACGCTCTTTGACAAAACGAAAACTACGAAAATCCGTTTTTAAATTATTGTGAAAAATCCACGCAATAATTTTAAAAACGGATTTTCGTAGTTTTTTTTTCCCCTGAAAATAACTAATCCATGAATTAATTTACTTGCGCCAAAAAATATTTTCTTTTCCTTTAGAGTTTAACCCCTTGCGCTAAGACTAAACTTCACGGTTGCGGTGCCGTGCGCTACAATATAACAAGCGGTAAAGTGTCTCATTTAGCCGCTCCGCATCTGCGAGTGCAATCCAGAGCTGTAACTCGAGAAATAAACAATCTCGTTGTTAGGCGACGTGTGCACCACATTATTTTCATTTTTGCGATAAATGCTTATCGACGTGGTGTTCACATCGCTCACGGTTTGAGACAGAAGCATCTCGACGTCTTTTTAGCGCAAGTCGTTAAAGAAATTTTAAACGATATTCATTTTATGAACTCTTGATAACGTGACCTTCGAACTTCGACACCGGTTTCGAGCTTTGGCAACAGATATACCAGACATGCACAGCTGTTTCCCTCTATGATGGAACGGAGCCACGTCTGTTGCAGAGAGGTTTTCCTTCTTTACAATACATATTCTTTGATTCTAACCGGGAAAGTTGCTCTGCCTTTCTAAAAGACAATCAAATTGGAGCTGCGAAAATTGGCTCTATGCCAGCTACCCGAATGACACTCACGTGATACATAATTCGCCAAAAAAGTTATCTCTTCCGACGTCGGCGCAAAAATCGCTTTTTTTGGCGGGATCGTTGTATGAACTTCCCTGACTTTTCCAGATTTTGACAAAAATACTTAAATTCCCTGACTTTTCCCTGAATATTTTGGTCAATTTTCGAATTCCCTGACTTTTTCCGGTTCTCCAGGTAGCGTGGCAACCCTGTACTTAGCATTGCTTGTAGTATGGCGAAGCTTGAGATGAATATAACTGATATTTTAAACCTTACATCAAGATGTGCTACTTTTCCTATATAGGAACAAATAAAGAATTCTTAAAAATAGTGTATTTGCAAAAAATCATTTTGCTTATGCGAATTATTGAAAGTGAAGTCGGTGTATAACAAAGTAAATTTATACATTACAAAGTCTGAAATCCGGACGTCCAAAATCAAATAATCAGTAACTTTTGTTTGCAAAATTTAGGAATGGAAAATGTAATTTTCAAAACAAAGCAGGTTTGTCATAAAAGCAATTCTTCTCCCAAATAACATATTTTTGTGTGACATTTTCGAACACCTGTTGACTAGAGAATTGCACTGTGGCCAATAACATCATATTGACATTACCACAACCACATTTTTGGCCCTTAAGTGGTTGTGGAGTGGGGTAATATTTTTCTGTGTGACTTAACACGTTGAGCGCGGCACCGAATTTGCTGTCCTTTCCATTTCCGGCAGCGAGCTAAGCCGTATTTTTGTTTAGAATGTTTCAATACATTTCATTAAAACTAAATTTGATCACATTTCATTGAGACTATATTTATTTTTTAACTTTAATACTGTCGGTCCTGAGGACTGATGACAGCCAAACAAAAATTCCAGGGACTGATGCCGGCCACACAGAAAGTTACCGGCGCCGCGCTCAACGTGTTAAACAATAACTGAAGCTCCAAAACATATTTGTTTGTAGTGGGATGTTGTTAATACTGATTATTTCGTTGGCATATCAGCAAGAAGGCAAAAAAAAAAATTAGAATCAGACGGAATTAAGTTATGTTAACATCACAAATTGTGCTCTAATTTGATCTAGCATATTATTTTTAATGCTATTATTATTACAGCTATTTTAAAAGTTTTAACTTTCAATTAATTCAAAAAGATATTTTAATTATGGAGCTGTAGCAGGATCTGCAAACTGAAAGTATATTTGGTACTTTCTATAACAGCCTTGGCACAAGAAGATGGCACTAACGAAATTTGGGTGCAACTTCAGAATTAGTAAAATAGCAACTATATTTTCGCATAGAATCTGAACGTTACAGAAGGCAAAATTTTCCAATAGAATTTTGAAGGAAGTGATAATAAATGATGATAGAAGTTTTTCTTTAAGATGACATTGCTCAGATAGCGAAATCCGTAGCATGATTTTTAAATCCAAAACATATCGCTACCAATAGTAACAAAGATTTTTCAGGGTGAAAAGATTTGGATTGACAGTTTATTGGAAATTTTTGACATGGCAATTATAAGACTTGCGCAATGGAACTTTTTAACTGGATAAGAAATTATGTCTATGAAATTAAAATGTATTAGCACAAAAAATTAAACAGCTTACATTGAAAGAAATGTTTAATAAACAAATTTTAGCTGTTTTTGTAAACTTTGATTCCTTGAAGGCCATTAAATCTTCATTATTTCGTAAATAACTATCTCATACTTAAATTTTCCATCTTATTAAATTTTAACTGATAATCTAAAATTCAGAATCAATGTGCATACGCATTTTCAACATATGAATATATTTCCTAAAGCTAAAGTTACAAATTGAAAGTTTGTACTGTGGTGACTCTTTTCAAGTGTAAATGTTAATACATCTGCATCCTTTTTTGTAAAATACTGAAACACTGCCTCTTATTTATTTATTTTTTCACTTCCTCTCTTGAAATCTTGACTGGTATTTTGTGGAATTCTAATAAATATATAAGAGCCTATATGCACAATGATATTAATATAATATTGTACTTTTATTTTTTCAGATTTGATAGGCTACTTTTAAATGACTTTGATAATATTTATTGGTAACAGGACACTACAGGAAGACCACAGTTGTGATTTTTAGAATAAGAAAACTGTGAAAAAAAGATTTAAATACCTTCCAAAAAATTAATAATTTTGAAGTTTATTGATAAGCTTAATGTACTTGTAGTCAATCCATTGAAATTTGCAAAATTTTTAGTGTGTAATAGAATCATAAAATACTGCTCAAATATCTTGAGCAGTTGAATTTCTCATGAATTCTAAAGGTGAAATATCTTGGGCATGCCTCATTTAAATCCTAGTGCTAAAATCTGATAAGTATACACCCATCTGCTTTTTTTTAATCTTGCTCTACTGAGTGTTTTATTAAATAACACAAACACCATAAATTTACCATTGGTCATACAAACAAGTCCCACTCTTCAAACTCTGGTGCAATTTCAATGAACATCCCAGAAGACTTTCCTAGGGTCTCCCATCCCTCTTCTCCTACCACCAAACCACTCAAGAGGACTTTATCTCCT